CAGTCTTATGCCAAAAGGTGGTCCTAGAAGTTGTGAGAATTGTACGGAATCTCTTTTAGAAATGTACTTTTTCTTCTTAAAACATGCTTTTCCTGGGGAAATTCCCATTTCTCTGGGTTCCATTGTTTTGACAGTATGATAGTCAGAGTGAGAGAACCAAGTGTCACTTTAATATTGTGAACATCCATTGTGCGTTTGATCAGAAATAGATCTTGAGTTCTCCAAACTCATCTGTCATCTACTATATACTTGGGTGTCTCAACAGACATTCAAAGTTCGAGGGAAGACCAGGTCGCTGTCCTTTTATGAACAGATTTCTTCGATATCCCACTTCACTTAGCCTGTTTTTGATTTGATATAGAAACTTGTTGTTCTTTTGTTATAGTTATAGGAATAAAGCAGGAGAAGGGGAGCGGGTAATGTCCTGCGTGGGGGTCCCAAGGTAAAGGACAACGTGGGAGATCATAGTGGGTTCCATAATGAGTGAGGGTGGTGACCAAGGCGGAGGCGGGGGTGGGGGAGTGGGAGGAATAACACACCAGGCAGACAGAGCTTAAGTGAGAAGTTCATTTAGAGCAGGGTATGAGGGGGAAGGTAAAGGGACATAGAGACACTGGGAGCAGGAGAGAGAGAGAGAGAGAGAGAGAGAGAGAGAGAGAGAGAGAGAGAGAGAGAGAGAGAGAGAGAGAGAGAGAGAGAGAGAGAGTAGAAGGTAGAGGGCAAAGAGCAAAATAGATGGTAAGTGGTGGTCTTTAAATGGGTCCTTTACACCTGCGTACAGACCAGTACTCATGGAACCCTGGGCTGGCCAGAATACTGCCTGGGTGCACTCTGCCAGGTAACAGGGGCAGGCCAGAGATGTTGCTGTTTTGGTCTAATAGAATCCTAATGCTGCTTCTATATTCTTCCAATACAATCTAGATAGCACTTTCCCAACACATTTAAAGAATCACCATTTCCAGATGACAGCTGCAGATTTTAGTGGTGTTTGAAAAATCAGACCATGATACTGAGAGAACACCATAGAGATCCTTTTTACAATTTTTTTTTTTTAATATTGACAGGCTAATCTACTATTTTAAAAATTTGAAAAACATATCATTATCATCACATCAATAAGTTATAACATAACTCATTTTAACACATCCACATGTTAAGGTATAATGACGCTATATATTTTCCCATGAAATTTTCTGGGGAATTTAGACTTCAAATTTAAATTAAACGTTATTTTTGTAAAATTTTATATCAAGGTAGTGTTTATTAAACTTGAATTTGTTATCTTGAAATTCTTTTTCTTCCCACTTCTAGTATGTATTTACTTTTGCCTCATTAGTAAAATATCCTAATCTCTTTGAAACATTAACTACTATTTCAAAGAATGAGCTTGTCTACATTAAGATAGACATATTCACTTTGAAAGTTTACCTCATTTTTTATGATAAACATGTTTCTCTGAGTTTAATCTTTTATTTTTAGCAGTTTTGCCAGGTGCACCACAAAATGTGAAAGGCAATGGAGTTTTATAGGATTTTAAAAGCTTAATTAAAGCTTTTAAATTCTTTTTGAAGTTTTTTCTTTTGATTAAGTATTTGATTAATGCATGTTAAATATGTCTTTAATAGAGAAGTACATAGTATCATAAAAATGTCAGATTTTGAACAGAATGGAATGATGTTGATTTAAATGTAACAAATTTAGAATACTGAATGTGGTAGTATCGGCATATTTTCATTAGGCACTGCAGATTTATAACTCCTCATCAGGTAACATGGGAGAAAGAACTGAATTGTTATCCTTACATAAATATATGCATGTGGTGGTTATTTCTTATGTTATATTTTACTTTGCATACAAGAAAAACTCATATGTGTCATTATGGAGAATATGATTCTAATTCATAAAGACAGTACTCTGGAAATTTAAGGTTCATTGGGGGAAATTGGATATTAAATTACAGAAGTAAATTCTATGAGCATACATATAGGAAATGTGGACAATACTTGAACTTTTTAGGTGTGATAGCAGCTATTCTGGAACACTATAAAAATGCAGTGGCTGTTTATTTTATTCCAAGCAAATACACAATAGAGGTGGTTATATTTACTTACAAGGAATTGTTGAAGACCTGTTTGTATGTAAGTAATTGTGCACATGTTCATCTGTGTTTATGTGTAGTGTGTTTGTGTGTGCATTTGTATGCTCAGATGTTATCCATGGTCTGTGAGGCCAAAGGTTCATACCAAGTGTCTTCTTTGATGACTTTCCACTTTTCTTTCAGATCCAAGACTTGTCACAGACCCAAGTCTCACAGATTTGGTTTGACAGTCTGACTATGAAGTCCCTAAGACCACCGCTTGTCTCTGTCTCCTGAAGTGTGTGAAATCACAGAGGGCCCACCATCCCACCTTTCTTTTTTCATGTGGGTGTTGGGAATCTGAACACAAGTTCTGATTATTCAGCAGACCCTTTCCCAACTGTGGAACTTCCCCAGCCTCTGAACTAAAGTTTTAAGTTACCAAAAATTACTTTTAGTAATTATTAAAATTTAATTCAATTTTTATAAGAATATTTAAGTTAAATCAAAAAAAAAAAAAAAAACAACTATGGGGTACTGAGAGGAAACCTGCTCTACTCCATACACACAAAGACAAGCAGTCAAGGGGTCCCAGGGGTCCTAGGCAAACTTACTGAAGTGTGCTTAGAACAGACAGATCAAGTACATGGCTTGTCATTTTCCCTTGACAAAGCTGATGTTCCAAAATAGGAAAAGAAATTCCACATGACTTTTTTATTTATTTAAGAGAAAGGGCTTTGTAATTACCAGGGATAAAAGTATAAAAAGCTATGAGCAACAGTAATTAATATATACTTCCTGTCCAAAATATAAAATTGCCTTAGTAAATGTCAGGTTCCCAGACTTTTATTTTAGTATTTCATGTAGTTTTCTTATTATTACTTACAAATTACACCCACAGTGAGTAGATACTTAAATGTCCTATGAAACAAACATACAGTATTATGTTTCATTATTACAGTTAATGGATTTTAGCAAATACCCTATTGTATCAAAACAGAGGATATTATATATAATAAAATCCTGTGACTTGATTTTAAAACTTGAACTTATGACTATAGCAATCAACTTATGCATAGTTATTTACATAAAAAGTCTATTTTGGATAGACATTGATATTGATAAAATTATACAGAGATGTGGGCATTAAGTATTGGGTTCAAAAGTGAGTACTATATATTTAATTTATTTATGTATTTGTTCCCTAGATTTCCTGTGAGCAGAGATAAATGATGTTGATTCAAAATTAGCATCTTCTAGGTATAAAGTGTGGAAGGAGGACTTTATGGGTAAAGGGTGGAAATTCTGACTTGTCCTCTCATCTTCAACTTACACATGTGCACATGTGTCCCAACCCCCTCCCCAATAAATGTAAGTAAATTAAAAATATATTGGTCGTGATCAGAAAACATAGCTCTAACATCTCTTTCTTTCTCATTGTCTACCAAAATAAACTTGATTATACATGCAGAAATCCATAGCAAATGATTGCAGATGATAGTATTAGCTTCCTGAGCAGGCAGGTTGGACTAAAATTAGATCAGTAGAAAAAGTAACAGAAGGACTATGTATTTGTTAGTGTTGGCCATTGCTATGTGGGTGAAAGCAGTGCTTGTTAATATTTTCATTGTGTTTCTTGCAACTATATAAAAAGCCATTGATTCTTTTTAATGATATTTGCATTATGCTTTTATATTCTTTTATATCACATGGAATTTGGAAAGTCTTATTTCTCAGAAGCTCATGTTGATGTTATGAATTTTAATAAACTGTGAGCACTCCAACGAGTCTCTGTATGACCTTAAATAAATATCATCTACACTACAACATTAAGTACATTTCATTTTGTAGTTTACAAAGGTTACTATCGCCTCTTCCACTAATCCCAGTAATTTCATAGCATTGGTCCTCTGACTTCAATGATTTTTGTACACTGTGGAAAACATGATTATCCATGACTTTGCTGACATATTTACCTATTTACATGTGTTGTAATCAGTTTACAAATTAAATGTTACTAGTTATGTAAAAATTCCTTCTAAACCAGTATCATCTCACATAAATATCAACTGGCTCTCCCACAATGGAGACTGATTTAGGCAGAAGAAGCTGACCTTAAATTAGTTTCAGAGATCTTCTCTGAACCATCCTGATAGCACACCCCAGCCATCTGTGTTTTAATAACCAGAGTGAAAACGGGCATGTTAGTGTTGATACCCGTAACTAAATGACGATTACTTCATTTTTTCTTAACATTCTACAAAATGTTGTCTCAATTCCCGTTTAAGGGTAAACTAAGATTGTATATAGGTAAAATGTACAAAAAAAAAAAAAAAAGAAAAAGAAAGAAAGAAAGAAAGAAAGAAAAAGAAAAAAAAAACGTGGGGGGAGGGGAAGACTATGAAAAGAACCATGGGACAAAGAAAGACAGAAAATGATCCACACTTCCAGATTTTTCCATGTTCTTAATAGCCTTCAGAGTTCAGAGTTTAGTGGTCTGTTATCCAGCCATGCTATTTCAGAAAACTCTTGCATTTTGTCCCCAAGTCACGTAGAATTATTCCTGACATGTCTGCTACTAGCTATTCCATATTTGATATGTTATGTGTCATGGATGATATCAAATGTACCTGGGGAAAACTACCTTTTTATAGTGTTGAAACTTCTTACAGATTCCTAACAATGGTCTTTCCAAGGCAAGATCATTTATATTTTCCTTGCTATATTTTTCTCTTTTAAGTGAAGAGAAATCCATTTTCTTCTTAGTACTTAACATATATCTTTGGTTTGGTAACATATACATTAAGTCATATAAGTTTAGGCTAGATAGGAACTACTGTATTTTAGCAAAGAATCGTCATTAGATCATAACACAGCCTCTGCAGGACGTTTAACATATTTTACTTACTTTTCTCTTAGCAACATGCAAACCCAGTGCACCACCATCACGCAGATCCGGTTCTGCCTGAGCTTTCTTCTGCTCTGCATGCTTTGTGGGAAGTCACACACTGAAGAAGACTTCATAGTCACAACTAAGAACGGAAGAGTACGGGGGCTGAACCTGCCTGTTCTGGGAGGCACAGTGACTGCCTTTCTCGGAATCCCCTATGCACAGCCTCCTCTTGGTAGTCTAAGATTCAAAAAGGCACAACCATTAAGCAAGTGGACTGGCATCCAGAATACCACCAAATATGCAAATTCGTGTTATCAGAACATAGATCAAACCTTCCCAGGCTTCTCTGGGTCAGAAATGTGGAATCCGAACACAAACCTCAGTGAAGACTGTTTGTATTTGAATGTTTGGATTCCAGCACCCAAACCTAAAAATGCCACTGTGATGGTATGGGTTTATGGTGGTGGATTTCAAACTGGGACAGCCTCTCTACCTGTTTATGATGGGAAATTTCTAGCACGGGTTGAAAGAGTTATTGTAGTTTCAATGAACTATAGGGTAGGAGCCCTAGGATTTCTAGCTTTACCCGGAAATTCTGAAGCTCCAGGGAACATGGGCTTATTTGATCAACAGTTGGCACTTCAGTGGGTCCAAAAAAACATAGCTGCCTTTGGAGGAAATCCTAAAAGTGTCACACTTTTTGGAGAAAGTGCAGGAGCAGCTTCAGTGAGCTTGCATTTGCTTTGTCCCCAAAGCTACCCCTTGTTTACCAGAGCCATTCTGCAAAGTGGATCCTCTAATACCCCCTGGGCAGTAAAGTCTCCCGAGGAAGCCAGAAATCGAACTTTGGCCTTAGCTAAACTGACTGGCTGCTCAAAGGAGAACGACACAGAGATGATTAAATGCCTTCAAACTAAAGAACCTCAGGAAATTCTTGTGAATGAAAGGTTCGTTCTCCCTTCTGATTCCCTCTTATCGATAAATTTTGGTCCAATGGTGGATGGTGATTTTCTCACTGATATGCCCCACACACTACTTCAACTTGGACAAGTGAAAAAAACTCAGATCTTAGTGGGTGTTAACAAAGATGAAGGGACATCCTTTCTAGTATATGGTGCTCCGGGTTTCAGCAAAGACAATGACAGTCTCATCACTCGGAGGGAATTTCAAGAAGGTTTAAATATGTATTTCCCAAGAGTGAGCAGCTTGAGCAAGGAAGCAATCCTCTTTTACTATGTGGACTGGTTAGGTGACCAGACACCGGAAGTTTACCGAGATGCCTTGGACGATGTTATTGGAGATTACAACATCATTTGCCCTGCACTGGAGTTTACTAAGACTTTTTCAGACCTTGAAAACAATGCGTTTTTCTACTATCTTGAACACCGATCTTCCAAAGTTCCTTGGCCTGAATGGATGGGAGTGATGCATGGCTATGAAATCGAATTTGTCTTTGGCTTACCTCTGGAACGGAGAGCTAATTATACGAGAGCTGAGGAAATGTTGAGTCGATCCGTAATGAAATTGTGGGCAAATTTTGCAAAATATGGGTAAGTGCTGATTTCTATAATTGTTACCTGGTTTTGCTTAACTTTGCTTGACCTCTACTGCAGACTTCATTAAAACATTGAAACATTTCAAGTGTTTTTTCGCTTTGTATCTAAGCTGCCTTTGTGTCTCATTATGTGATGAATTTCAGCTCTTTCTCTGTGCTTAAGAAAAATCAGCTGAGAATTTTTCTGTAAATGACGTTCTGATTTCATTTCCAAAATGGTACAAAATACTTTAATGATGTTAACTAAAGTTTAGAAATAAATGCTTGTATCAGAGTTACAATAATGAAAATGCTTTTCAACCCACACATTTATTAATGTTACCAGGTTTAAGAGGAGGAATGTTTCTTCTCATTGTCTAAAGCCTGGGACAGTGGCATCTGATAAAGGGGTAAACATGACCTTCTTAGGAATATGAGTGGGGCAAGAAGGTAAGGGATTTCGATTCCCCCCTTATTCTAAAAACTCATGGCTCTCAGAATTTTACCATTTTCCTCTAACAGATTTTATCAGACTTCTTAGGTAACCTGCTTCACTCGACTTTTGAGGTCCCCCATGTTTACCTAAATTGTTTTTCTACTGGAAAAGTTTTGTGGCCAGCTTCCATCTCACCTTTGTTGCTCTGGAGTCTTAATAGCTAGCATACATGTCAATCCCTAGTGGCAGATGGTTTCACTAAGGCTTTTGCTACAGTAGGATATTTCAGAGTTTATTCTGTTCACTAGAAATCATACTTTGGATCTTTATAATTTTTCTGTACTAGCTAGTGATGTGAGGAATCATAGTCTCTCAGGATGTTGGACAGAGCTGGCATTGAGAACACAGCTCCAGCCCACACACTTCACAGCAAAGCAAACAGCCACACTCCTGGCATTCTATCTTGCAAAGCCACACTGTTTCCTTTAAGTCTATTTTCAGTATTGTTCTTGAAATATATTTATGAGAAGATTACTCCATCATAAACCAAAATGCATGTATAATCTCTTGCAATTCTGTTTCTTTTTTTCTAATTTTTAAGAGAGGCTTTCTGTATATAATTCAAAGCTAGCCTTCAACTCATAATCTTTCTGTCTAAATCTCAAAAATGCTGGGTTTACAGAAAGTATACTACCATACCTTTTCAGGAATATATTTTCAAATGTGTATTCATGTGTAAAAAAAAAACTTGGTTATAAAATATATAGATATCAAATAACTGAGTATGTTAATCTAAATTTAAAAGTTAGGAATAAAAATATATTTTTGAAATGAGTACCTGTGTCAGTTGTAACTATATAGATTTGATAATACAATTGATACTTCTATAGGCTAAGAGAGTATTGACAATAGTATTAATTTATTTATTTTCTTTTTATTACATTCTTATTTATTTAGATTGTGAGTGTGTTTGTGTGTGTATGCATGTGTTCCCTTGTGTGCATCTGTGGAGGTTTCAAAACAATTTACAGGAGTCAGTTCTTTCCTTCCATTATATGAGTCATAGGGATCAAATTGAGTTCATCAAGTTGGGTTGCTAAGCACTTATCTCCTGGGCCATCTTGCCCAATTCCAGTTCCCATTTTTATCCTCAATTTAGACTTCATTACATTCCATGATGCTGTGCATCCTCCTATAATATCAGTTAATAGTAATTATTCCCCCCACTACTGTATCAGTCTATATACCCTTCGTAAAATTTAAGTGCTCCTGCTAAGACTTAAGGGACTTCTACATTCTTCATTCTCCTTACCATGTGTTTCAGCCAACAGGAATTAGCTGCTCATAATCCATGTATTTTAAGAACACCTAAGCTGGGAAAGTTCATTGTAGCATATGGCTGTCATTTGGCAGTCTTCTGACTCCTCAGTGGTACAGGTTCTGTTTATTGATAGGTCCAGACTAAATATACTGGTTCACCTAGCCTGCATTTGCTTTCAAGAGCAGTTGCTCTAGATATATGTAACTCTCACAGAAGTCATGGTCATTTATTATAAGGTAAGCCTTCTAAATTATATTAAATTGGATTATTGAAAAAAAGTCTGTTTCTGGGGATATTCACTAAAATATTAGAATAGTTATACCACAATAAATATTAGGTTAATTGCTGAATGAGACCTAGTAATATAATTTGAATTTTTTCAGATATGTTAGTTATACTGTATTATCTGGATACTCAATATGATCCTAATGTTTTGCTAAAGGATGTGTTAGAGTTATTTAAGTCCCATTCTGTCCCTCCAAAGGCTATGTCCTCAGTGAGCCATTTGCATATGTTTTTATTTTTTCTTCCAATTCTAAAAAGTATGAATTATTAAACATAAAAAGTCCTTCCTGCCACTAATGTCTGTAATTTTTAAAGCAGTTCATATTTTCATATTAAAATCATTAAGAAATTTATATTTCCACTATTCATATTGAACTGTCAACAGAATATGTTTAATGTCTTATTTAAGACACACACAGCATCAGATCAAAGACAAGACACTTTGACCTTTAATGTAATAGTTTAGCCCTAACTAAGTGTGTCTCTGATAGGTTTATTTTATGGGAACTAAATGAAAGCTGACATATTAATTATAATGTGGAACATATAAGATGAAACTTATAAAACACATCAAAAATATTAAGATAATCTTGCAAAGTAGGATAACCAACATGTCATTGATAAGGAAATTTTTCTCAGAGTCCATATTTGTAGTCAGACAAAGGAAAAATATGTCATGCATGTTTCCAGTTCAATTGAAAACAAATGGTAATCTCAAGTAACTTCAGTGGAGGCAAGGGAATCAAGACTTAGGTTGACATGATTTGGTTCTGAATTTCTCAAGGATGGGCACTTTGCTTCATGTGTCACCCTGCTGAATGTAGAGGGCATTGAATATTGTCTGGAGCCTATTTTGGGGACACTTACCCAAATGCCTAGGACACTTCTCCAAACAAACACTATTTCAAAACGTTAGAAACACCACAGTTGAGAACATTCCCCTCACTCCCAAAGTATGTTTTTAACAAAGAAAAAGTAGGCTGTGGCTCTTTGAAAAGTTAAAACCCTACACCTTCAGGATATCTGAGCTCTTTTCTTTCTATTAAACTTCATGTTTTATCCTATATTAAAGAGAGGTGGAGTAGGAATTGAAACTGTAATTATCATTTAGGAAGAAGGATTTCATGTTACCACCACTGTTCTAATCAATTACTCTTGCAGGTTAGTTTAATATATGTGTGTTGCCTATGTGATTCATCAGTATGTAATTTTCATATGTAGTTCAATAAACTCTGGCTAATGTCTATAATTCATCATCCTACAACCCTGTTCATTTTGCATGATTTTTTTTTTTGTTATTCATTTCTCATGACAACTTCTGCTCTGTCCAATATGCCTGTAATAGGACCAACCACTCAACAGAAAGCTTCATTTTACATGTGTGTGTGTATGTGTACAATAGATTTCAGTTTATTTTTTGTATGCATTGTTGTGAGAGTCCACTAGGATGGGGGTTACAGACATTTGTGAGCTGCTGTGTGGGTACTGGGTAAGGAAACTTAATCCTCAAGAAGGGCAGTCTGGAAGAATAGCCAGTAGCCAGTGTTCCTAAACACTGAGCCATCCCTCCAGCCCTGTATTATAGGTTTTTTTTTTTTTTTTTTTTTTTTTTTAGGTGTATGTAATAGAATGATTCCTTATGACACTTCCTTAGTCCAGTTTTACCTGCATTATTGCTTCTGTATTTATTTTCCTCCTCACTTACAGAACCCTTCTTCACTTCTTTCCTGTTGTGTTGATTAATCATTACTTTTTTCATTTTTTTTTTTTTTTTTGGAGTCAAAGCATTTTTTTTAAATTTAATTTATTATTTTACATGTCGATTCCAGTTCCCTCGCTCTCCCTCCTTCTCTCCCTCCCTCCATCCCTCCCTCCCTATATTTTACCCTCTCTGCCCTCTCACATGCACCCTAACCACCCTCCCCTCCCATCCCCCCACCCCAATTCCATATGTAGGGGAATGACATCCAGTTGGGGTCATGTAGATCTGACAGGTCATTTGAAGTCGGGACTAGGGCTTCTCTCCTGTCTCTACATTAAGGCAGTTATCCTTCCATGGGGGATGTGTTCGCAACGTCTTTTGTGCACCAGGGATACATCCTGGCTCCACTGTCTGAGGTCCCTTAGACTGCTCAGTTCTTCTGGCTGACAACCATAGTCAGGGGGGCATAAGTCAGTCCCATTCTGGCTTCCCAGCCATCACTCTGGTGGCCTGTTAGCTCCTCCTCATTCAGGTAAGCTGTCTCTATGTGTTTCTGCAGCCTGGTCTTGTCCTCTCCATCTGCATCTGGGTTCTACTTCAACTCAGTGTTTATGAATGGGTGTTGCTCCTGTTTCCAACAGGCATTAGTTGAGGGCTCCATGGATAAGTTAGTTGTTGATCTCACTATCTGTGAAGGGCATTTATGGTAGTCTTTCCACAGAAGCTCAAATTGTTAGTTGGAGGCAGTCTTGTAGTTCTCTAGACCTTTCTTTGTGTTCAATTTTTTTCTTCAAACAAACATTGGCTCCTTCTTTTATGCTCTCTCTCTCTCTCTCTCTCTCTCTCTCTCTCTCTCTCTCTCTCTCTCTCTCTCTCTCTCTCCTGTCTTCTATTCCTAACTGGGCTCAATCTTCCTGGTCGCACATGTTTTCCTTTCCTCTCCCTCACTTTCTCCTACTTCTCTCTCAATTCACTGACCCCCACCCCACTTCCACTGTGCTCTGGGGGACTTGTCCCTTCCCAGTTCTGTGAGGGACTTTATATGAATCTCTTAGAATATACCTTGTATCATATTTCCTCTGGTGGTGTGAATTGTAGGCTGGTGATCCTTGGATCTAGGTCTAAAATCCATATATGAGTGAGTACATACTATGTTCCTCTTTCTAAAATCCATATATGAGTGAGTACATACTATGTTCCTCTTTGTGACTGGGTTACCTTATTCAGGATGGTTTCTTCAAGTGCCATCCACTTGCCTGTGAATTTCAAGAT